AATAGGACAAAGGAATAAAATGAGGCCGTACCTGAGAAACGAGGCCATTGAGCTGTTCGGACAACTGGCGGAGACTTTCTGTTGATGAAAGAGACCTGGGAACAAACACAGACAATAACTATTCCTTTAGATAAAAGTTTCTTTCAGAGAACTGCCCCGATCAGAACTGCACTGGGGAAAAATATGATTTTAGCTTGCAGGACACTTTGGAATTCTGCTGCAAAGCCGTTTAATAAACACACACAGACACTCACCTGTTCTCATCCAAGGCATTTTTACGATCTTCAGCTTCATGAATCTGTGGAGCAAAACACAAAAATTTACAGGCCTGTAGAAAGGATGGGATCACTCCTGTGAATGTGTCACTAAGGCAGACCCTTGGTCTCAAATTCTGCAGTCCCTATAATCACTGTTTTCCAAATAAATACTCAAAACTACCCATTCAGAACTGGTTTGCACATAATTTCTTAGCGTTGAGGGCCCAGATTTCTTAGATTGATCAAGGGCTTTGCGCCTTGCGGGCTTTACATTTGTTATTACCATTTATTAGTATAATCAACACTGCTGGGAAGTTTGCAGTTGTCCCTGCTTGAGCAGGGGGGCTGGACTAGATCTCCAGAGGTCCCTTCCAACCTCAACCATTCTGTGATTCTGTGAATCTTTAAATAGCATGAGGAAATGCAAATTGCTCCAGCTGGTGACCTTCTGTCTTATTGAGGATGCTTTCTGCATGGAATATGAGAGAAGAGGGCAGAAAATAGAAACACTAGAAGCAAGGGCATGTGCTCGCTGGCACAATCCTCCTTCTCACAGTTGATGGCGAGTGGAGAATGCAGTATTTTTTAAAGAAAACTTCTGTGTTAGTCATCGGATTTATGAAGACCTTCTCAGCAAAAAGAGTGGCATCACGAAGGAGCGTGGTGGTACCCACCAGGTGAGCGTGCACAAACCTGTGTGAGCTGCACGCTGCGTGGAGCAGGCAGAGCAGAGCCACAGCCAGGCAGAGCGGTGCTGTTAGACAGCACGGGGACATCGGCGGCAAGCTGTGCAGCACTGCGAGGGGCAGCGTCGCTGTCAAAGAACGCCTGTCACAAAAGACATCACAGGAGTTACAGCCAACACACGGAATGGAGGAACACGCGCACAGCGCCTCGCGGCCTCCCCTGGAAAACCGGACAACAGCGATAATCCTTCGCTTAGGAACACGTGGAAATTCATCTGTGTTCTTCCCAGAGCAAAGTGAATGCATCAACCCATGAGTAACAAACGTTGTCCCCTATTCTGTCAGTCCCAGAAGAACCAGTCTGAACGGCTGCTGCCCGTAATCAAATTCACCTCCTTAACATGGGGCAGGAACATCAGCCAAGCACGGACACAAGGTTTATTAGAAAGATCTGCCAAAACCTGAAGAAGGGCAAAGCCAGATATAGCCACTGTGCTTTGAAAAGTGCCACCTTCAAGATGTCTCTGGGGAAAACAATGATCACTACGTGCAAATTAATATGGAAAAAGAACAAGTTAGGAACTACTTAAGAACTGTGTTAGACTCCAGAGCTCTGCCTCATACTCGGTAAAGCTTGTGGCAATGCCAGAAACAACAAAATTAGGAACGGGGATTTATAAACAGGCCAAATTCAACATAGCTGGGAACAAGGGCCTATGGACCTATGAAAGCCTTGACTAAAAGAATCTAAAAAAAAAAGAAAAGAGAAGCCCCAAAACATTTTCTGTGCACTTCTTATCCAGCCTTTGTGGGAAGAGCAGTAGCATCTGATGACAACTCTACCAAGCCACAGTGAATTGGGCAATTTCTCACCTATTTTCAACAGTATCAGAGAGACCCATATAGACCCAGAGCAGTTTTCTAGCATTTTATGGCTATTTGTCATATTTCATCATCTAGCTATGGTAAACTACCGTTTTACAGCATTGCAAAGCAAATGAGATCAGCTACTATCAGCATTTAACCCCACAGCTGTTCTGCTGCTCCCTGCAATTCCATCTCAGGTTCTTCTCATTCCAGTAGCTTTCTTGCCAGTTCACAGTAAACTAAAGATCTCCCTTCCCCTCTCCTTCATGACTGCTTGGAAGGCCAGGGGTGGCTCCTGGTATTCCCTGTGTGCTTGCTCAGCACTTCGTTTATGATTCAAACAGCAGGAGAATACAGGAACAGGACAGACTTAATGTAAGCAGGGAGCTGGAAGATTGCAGAGGCAACAAAGGTTTTTTTTATATTCTTCCCAGCAGGACAGATACTTTTGCTCTCACAGAGCAACATATGTTAGATGCTGATAAGGTCAGGAACTCCCAGACCACTTCCAGCATCAAGCTACTTCACTTCTTTTGGGTCACAAATTTGCCAATACAGAACCCCAGACAGGCAGGAGTATCTTACCCAATATATCTCAAAAGCACTTCCTTAGCTTTTCCTGACCAGGACGTTCTTTTTGCTTAGTACTTCAAAATGCAACAATCAGCAACATCTTGTCCACAGAACTCCTGCCTTCTGCCCCCAAAATAAAAAAGTTTTCAAAATTAAAAATAAATAAAAGAACAACCAAATTCACTGGAGACAGAGAGTGAGGAACAAAATAATTATTTGAAAATCATGTACTGGGAAGTTCTAAGGATGTAGAATAAAAAAAATAATTCTGCCTTGCCTAGCACATAGTAGGATCCATTTACTTTTGCACAAAGGCTCCTATTTTCTCCACTTTTCTCTATTTCACAGCCAGAAGGCTGAAGTGGATGAGATGGGAGGGTCTGCCTCATGTTAAGACGCCAATGGCAGCCCAAGCTCAGATGCTAATGATCATCCCTTCTGCCCCGTTCCCATCAAGTGAGTTTCTGTGCAGCATTTCCGTGACTCAGGATTTTTCCAAAGATGGTAACTGGAAAGAGAAATCCACTCTTTCATTGTAGATGGCAATTAAAGACTCATTTTTAAGTTATTCTTAAAAACGCACAAACCATATTCCAAGATAATAGGCATTTGTAACAGCCTAATATATCCTGAAACAAAAGCATACTTCTCCATGTTGAGGAAGCAGAGAAAAAAAAATGAGGAAAAAAAAGGACAAATTGAAGTAATAAGTCCTCCATTTTCACAACTAAAGCTGTAGGCACAGTTAGACAACAGCAGCACTGTGACAGCCATCCTGACCTGCAACCATCCAACGCTCCTGGTGATTCCTATGGCTAAGTTCATGGCTGGAGAGGAGTGGGTATGCAGTAAATACAGTAAATAGTTTGTTTTGTGACAACTAAGTTTGAAAATAAGGGTGGAGAAGTAGGCAGTCAAAATGATGGCGCACCCAAGGGAAAATGGAAAGCAGAGCAACAAACTTGGAAGAAAATTTTGGCCTATAAAATTTGACTTTCCTAACTTTCTATCACTATTTTAGCTTTAAGTAAACCGATTATCTAAAATAATTTTTACCAGGTTGTTTGTTGAAAGTTTGCTCCTGAACACACAGTCATTGCTTACTGAGGTCTTTCCTTCCATCTTCGGGAGCTAGGGAACATGAAGCCACTGCAGGCCATAAACGCTCGACCTAAAATATCTGACTTCCTGCCTGAGCACATTTAAAATGATAGCACTTGCCAGGGTGTGCATCGCCTGGGCAAGTTTCATCACCCAGCACAAAACAGGTTGGCTGGAATAACTACATAGCTTACTCAGGGCAGCTCCTTCGTTAGGGATGAGCAGAAACATGCCCTTCAGAAACAAGGCACTGGGAAACAGAGCACACGAACCAGGCAAAGTAACACTGGAAAACACGACCTCTTCCTAGTGCCAGACAGGTTTTCCTGTCCCTTTGCTACAACTTGTTGGAAAAGCATTATATAGTCAAAGCAGTCACTCCTTGTTCAATTGCTTCGCACCAAATTCCTGGTATTCCCCAAGGCTTGACTGTCTCAAGCAAAAGTTCTTGACAAGGTTCTTCACATGTTAAGTTTGACACAAACCAGAAGGAAACACAAACAAACAGTGGAAAAGCATGTTAAGAAGCAGCTCCATGTTAACACAAATGGCAAAAAAAACTCAAGCAACTGAGAGCAGATGCTCTACTCGAAAATTGAAGTTGATTTGAGCAGAATTGGAACATGCAGAAGGGACAAAGCAAGGCACGGAGAGGGCCGCGGAGCACTGCCTCACCTTCCTCTTGTCCAATGAGGGTATGGCTACCCCATTGGAGCGGTTAAGGTCTGACACCAGCACCTTCAGAATGTTCTGAATCTAAAGGAGGTGAAAGAAAAGTGGAAAGAGAAACGGCTCAGAAAAGGACAGCGAGAAAATACCAATCAAAGGCAGCCGCAGAAGCTGGCACCCTCCAGCTTGTTAGGAAGATACAGGTCAAAACAGCAGCACAGGACATATCCAGGGCTGCTCTGCTCCTTGTATGAGTAAACACTGCTTCACCCTAAACCCTGACTCTCACATGCACCTGCAAGTAATTTTAGTCACTAGCCAGCATAGCTCACATCATAAACTGGCAATACCAGCATCTAAACCACTCATCTAAAGCATTCGCGTTATGCTGGCAAACCCTCCACCAGCTGTAATCTGTTTGTTTGGAAAACCAAAGCACAACAGGGCGGCAAACGATTTGGGAGAGCAAGGTGCTCACATTCTCTGGAGACTGTCGGTCATCATTTGTGGGAGTCTCAGGCCTGCTTCCTTCTTTAGATTTTCGCTTTTTCTTGGCTCCCACAGTTGCTCCAGGGCTGTTCTTCTGCTGATATTCCTTCAGCTGCGGACAGAAAAGGAGAAGCTGAAGCTCACATGGAATGTGCTTTCTATAACGTCAACTAATAATGAATAAGATCACAGGGTAAGGCAGCAGATCAGGTGCAAAGACATGAGAAACCATCTTCAGAGTCGCCAGAGAAACCGTTTTCCTCAAAAAGATTCAGAACAAGCTGAGAAGGTCAAACTGAGGGATGGGTTTGGGATGAGAGGCTCCGAGCTGCAAATGCACAGCTTCGTTATGTGGTAAATGACATTCAGTAATGGGGGAGAATTTGACATCCTCTACCGCAACAGAAAGGAAATGAATGTTTGGTTTTGTCTTTCCCGTTAGGGGTTGTAAGAGCAATCAGGTGAGCGGAATAAAGGCAGGGAGCGCTGGACGGCAAGTGAAGAAGCAGCGCCCGACAGCAGGACCTTCCCTCCCGCCAGGAGCGGCG